TTTCTGTCTGTATAAACAGAATGACTCATGCGTGGTAATGGAGGGAATGTGTCAAATTGATGGTAAAGCCTATACATGTGGTGTGTGTTGAGTGCCAAAAGTGCCATAATAATAATAATAATAATAATAATAATAATAATAATAAATAAATATATCAGCAAATGATTATTTGCATACATCCTCATTAATATCCAATTGGAAGCAATAATTTAATAAATAAAGGAATGTATCCATTGTTCAAATTTAATGTAAGTAGAAAACCAGTTCGGCATTTATTGTTATTTTGTTGGTCCTATTCAAACTTAAGTTGTTTATAAATGTATCCTCTGATTGGTTAGCAGGCAGTTATACTGATAAAGTCAGTTGTAACCCCGACCACAAACTTTAATCGTTATGGTTAAAATGTAAAAATAAACACAAGAAACTTAAAAAAAAGAAGAAGTTATTTTTGGATTAATAAGGCATATTTAGGTAAGCGTATAGTTAGGTTTTTCTGTATTTTCTCTCAACTGTATTTAACTAATGACGTACTGGAAATTGTACACAAATCTAGTTTGGTTTAAAGCTGAACATGCAGAAGTGCACAGTACTACCAGCTGCTGTGTCATTTTTAAACGCAAGACGAAAACAAAACTGTGTGATCCGCTAGCTATCACTAAAGTCTGCTTTTTAAAGAGAGTTAATGTTCCTTATTCAGTGGAATTAAACTAACTTTTATATCAACATTTATATAAATAAACTCATTATTCTCAAATGTCAGAGGTCTTATTCTAAATAACAGCTCTGATCTTTTTCAGGTGGTCTTATTGTTTTTGTAATTTATCGATCCAAGCACTGGCACTACCTGCTCTCCTTAATTTATTGACAATAATTTAACCAAATGTCTAATAATTTTTTACTAGCTACTCTTTGAAGTTCTGAGAATTTTTTTTATTACATTTGAAAAATTCTGACAATTTTTGAATAATTTGAAAGTTTATCAACAGATTCCCTCACCTGAGCTGTGTGTTGGTGCAGATCTTCCAAAGTCACTGTGGCTGCTTCTCTGGACTGAACAGTGCTCTTTGAAATGTTGTTTTCAGTTCTAACCCTGCTTTCTTCATAACCTGTCTGACTTATTTTGAGTAAAAAAGGCTAAAAACAAATGCATGCCACATTATTCAGCTGTTTACATATGTTATATTTTGAAAACTCAGCAATTTCCTCCCATTTCACAAATATGTGCTACTGTGATGGTCTACCACATTACTTCATATATATATATATATATATATATATATATATATATATATATATATATATATATATATATATATATATATATATATATATATATATATATATATATAAGTAAGTAAGTAGCTGTAAAATAACATAATACTTAACAGATTAAAAGGTGGGGATAGTTTTGCAAAGGAACTGTAGAAAGTGATTATTGACGTATTTATTGATTAAATTTTGGCACTATTAGGACGCCGTAAACCATCACAGTTGTTGCAGACGCTGAAACGGATCTGTGCTCATTAAAATTAGACAAACTGATGAGTATTTCTCTCTGTATAACAACGTCACAAAATATTTTTTTGGAGGCTCCACGAAAGTAGAACACACAAATGGAACATAATAATGAAGATATAAGAAAAGCAGATACTTGTATTTCACACGGACTCGTCCTGACGCCTTTCTATCATTCTCAACGCACTAAACATCAGGGCAAATTGTGTGTGTGTGTGTGTGTGCGTGTGTGCGTGTGTGCGTGTGTGTTAGCAGCGACTGCCCACAGGATAAATGTAGCAGCCTCATTTTTAATGCAGAGCAATAAATCCAACAAGTCAAACAGACAGTGGCTATCAAGATAACTTAATATGAAGTGCCTCATTAGCAGCTTTCTAACCTGGTCTCGCTCTAATTGGGCTCTCACAGAACCACTTGTGTCTATTCTGGTTCCCTCAAACATACATTACAACAAATTAGCCCAAAACAAACCGCAAGCTTTTGCTATTTTTGTTTTGGTATTTAAAATATTCTCGCTCCACAAAAAGCTGTCAAGTCTCGTCTCGATAAGATAACAGAAACTACTCACTCAGTCAGTATTTTTGGGGGGCAAAAAACGATGGAACCGGGCCCATACATACATCCACCCACCAACGACGATGTTTTCATTGCAGCAAGCGACTACAGTAACTGGATCGTGCGGTTGACAAGCTGCAAGCGCATCGCCCAGGCAACAGCTTTGACGGGCACCGCCGTCGACCAATGAGAGACGTCCGAGCGCTTGTTTATGTGCACGCCCCCTCCGTGAGGGCCAATCAGAGAGAGTTCTACGGCTTCACGGGGAGAGAGGGGGAAATAACTGTGTTGCGGTCTGTGAGGGTGTTTCGTGTGAAGTGGGAAATGATTGTTCCAAATTCTCTATTACATAATTCACAAAATCGCACCCTGCGTCCACTATAATAACATAATTCATCCAGGGGTCATTACCGAGGGCTTGCAGCTGCAGGAAAAGTATATCATTAAAAAAAATGTGGGGGGCCATAAATTCCTTCAGCGTGAAATAAAACATGACAAAAGACAGGGACAGGTGTTTGCAGGTGTTTGTGATGGCGTAATAACTATTTACTTTCCCCCCATATCTACAGCCTGCCCTGTGAAAATTTGTTGTTGTATAATAACCTTTTTCTGACTGGCATTCACACTCAGTCTATGCTGAGCTCATAATTGTGAATAGGGAGAACTTCCCAGTTATTGTCAGAGTTGGGAAAATTACAAGCTAAATCTCTGCAGCATCTGTGTTTATCTTTATGTCTCATGCCAACTTTAGGATTCTCTGGAAAACTTTCTCAGCATTTCTCCTGACGTATGCTGCCACCTTCAGGATTTGACCTGTAACTGAAAGATAAAATCAGCAATTTCTTGTTATTTGTCCGTTTGGGAAAGTACAATCCTTCTATGTACAAACTAATAACGCTGGTAGGGATATAAAAAAAAATTAAAAAAAAAAACCAAAAAAAAAAAAAAAACACTCAGCAGGCAGAACTATTGAAGGAGCTACAACTAACTGGACTAGTGATTTGTATGTAGCTATTTTCTGGGATTGTCAACTGAGGTGCTGCCACTGCTAACTTTATGGGCTTAGATTTTCTTTCCAATTAAAAACACCATGGACCATGTTTGGTTTTGCTGGAAGTGCTTTTCCTTCCTCGTTTCAAAGGTTTCATTTCTTTCCACTGTTGCCACATGCATGGATATTATGGAGAATTGCTGCAAAGTCATTTAACTATTATGTGTGCATTTTTGTTACATACTCCAATAATAATAATCAGTCTAACATTTTATATATAAAACAACCAATGTTGGAAATTTCGGAAAATTTGCAGTGACGTCCTATTGACTTCATCTAACAGTAGACATTACACTGAAAAATAAATGCAAACTTTTAAAAACCAAACTTGATATTTGAAAATGTCAATTTTAGGAGTGTTTTTGTCAACATTCTGCAAATTTCACATTCTAAAGCTTTGCTGATGATGAAAAAGCATTTTAATGCAATGAAATTGAAAAATCCTGAAACAATTCAGCCATTGTGTCCTGCAGGGAACGCAACAAGATGAAAATGCAAAAAGTCCAGTGAAACAATCATGACTTCATCTAAGTATAAAAAAATACATCACCAATAAGTAGAAGTGTAACATATCTGTTTTTTGTTGTTGTTGTTGTTGTTGTTGTTGTTGTTTTGCTATTAATAATAGAGAAACAAAAAACTTGTTTGATTGGTAAGCTGCAGGTGTAAAATATACACATTTTTGACATGGATTTTTTGCATTATTTTGCTGCTAGTCATGATAGAGGTAACCTCAAATACAATTAAATTAAATTTAAATTCAATACTTCAATTATTATAAAAAATAAATAAAATAGTAGGTGATTAGCCAGAAGAGTAGTTAAAAAGAAAATCAGGCAGACAGGTATTTTAAATGCAGAAAAAGGAAAACATTATAGAAAACACAATAGAGTTGTAGAAAAATATATTGAGTAAACACATTTTTGTGTTGTAAAACTGTGATTTAACTGAGCGTGGTGCACATATAAGAGAAGAGATATTGTTGCAACTTGTATTATTGTCAGTTTGTGTTTCATGTCAATTTCCACAAACAGTAATAGATTTTTGAGAAGTGATTCTCAGAATCTATCTTTTATTATAATAAAGATTTGAACTGATAATTTTTGACTTATCAATTTGATTAATAGGGCAGATGATGTAAACTCTTGCGGAAAAAAAGGTGGGTGGGGAAACCACGGCAGTTTGAAAAGAAACCGGACTTGGATTATGAATCATTTGCAGATCGGTTCATGTGATGACGCACATGAACCTGGAAGTGCTTAACTTTCTTGTATTAATGAAAGTTTGCACTGTGACCTGTGGAAACTTTTTCAAACATTCACTGTTGAAACGTAATGACTGTGCTCTTATGCAGAGTGTGATTGTTTAGCACACGTTTTTCCATAAGCTTAATGTTTCCCAAAGACAAAAAATGTTTTTTATATTATTACAATTTATTGTGTGGGGGTTTATATATATAGATTTTTTTATTTTATTTAGATAACTGTTACGCTTTTACGGGTTATGTAATTTCCATCACGTCACGTGACGTATTTCCTCAGCAGCGCAATTATTAGGATTTTTTTTCATTCACGAAAATGCTGTTAAAGTTACCAAAATGCAATTTACATCCATGTTTCCAATTTTTTCTGTTTTGAACCACAGCAGGAGAATCCATGACAAAGATCCTGTATAAAAAAATATCGAAGAAAGATGAATAACTCCAATTTATTTATCGCATCCCAAAAGTTTGCCCGGCGCAGTCTAGACACTGATTGGATAAGTTGAGTAAACCTTTCTCTGGTTGGACAGGCTCGTGAACAACACATGTGTTTATTGGAGCAGAGAAGCCCCTTGTTGAGTACAGCGTCGTCCAGTTTCTCGTCTCGTGACTCCTCCTCGCTACAATACTATCTTCGGCATAAATTACATGCGTGTAAGCATACACTACATTTGCGAAAAATGGCAGCTGACGAATAGAAAAAAGTGGATCTTCAGTCGAAAAAAAGACGGCACTTGTAAGTTCGTTCGTTAAAGTATATGATATATATTTTAAGAAAATTTAAACTTAGAGCTAGTCGAATCCAAAAACACGTAATTCTGCTTCATGATTTGGAAGAAACTGCTGTAAGAAGGTTAAGGCTAAGGTTAGCCTGCCCAGTTATTAGCCAGCAGCCGTGGCTAGCCAACCGAGCGCTTCCAGTTGTCAACATTGGGCCCAGACTATTACCTGCAAGTGGTTCATGTTGGCGTCGTCTACATATTTTAGAAGCACAAATGTAATGCAGAAATAAATGTTAGCGCAATAATTAATTTAAAGTAAATCCGTCTCGATATTTATCCCCGTTGGCTGGTACCAAGTAAACACTTGCAGGCTGCTGATGGGTGACACACACCGAAGGTGGACAAGGAACAACAAGTTTGAGAGTTAAATATTGTGAAATGCCAAACCCAAAAGAGTGCTTTTCTACGTGGTGAAATGTTTCGGTTATGTTGTAACTTTAGCTACTAATATTAGTAATAACAGTGTACCTAGATATCAGTAACATGAATTTGACTTCAAAAGAATATCTATACTGGTTACCTTCAACGTGAAATATTTAGCATTTTTTTAAACTCAAAAGTAAAAAACAATAGAAGCTTGTTGTGAGATTTTTGTTATTATTATTATTATTCTCAGCAGACATTGTTGTGACATTTTTGGTCTTAGTTGCGTTCACTGAAACATGGAGAAGTTGAGGGAATGTACACAGAGTCGAGGGCTGTCCCAGCACACCCCACGGGCCTGGCCTCTGGAGCGCGTGAAAAAGCCCCGGTCCGCTTCACGCTTCCTGTCTCAGTGGGTGTGGGTTACTGGAAAACCACACTACTGTAGCCGCTAAACGGCACATTTATACTTTTTTTCTTTTATTACTAGTTTTAATAATAATTGTTTTTAGTTAATTGCGTTTAATTAGGTTTACAGTGGAAATAAAAAATCTTCACTTCCCCTTGTTGAAATTTCAAGTTTTTGTGATGTAAAAAAATAATAACATTAAGTTAAGTATTTTCAGTTATGTGTAACTTAATTGATATGTGTGACTTAATTGAACTGCAGGCTGAATTGTATAAACTAATACATTGTTGAAGCACTTTCTTTTTTTATTTTTTATTTTATTACAGTTTCCGGTCATTTCAAATCAGAGATATTCTCTCTGATTCAGTTCTGGGCTCTATTTCTAAACTTTATTATAAGTTCATACTAAGCTCTGTTTATCCAGCAGAAATTGACAGGCATTAGCAACGATTCAAACTCAAAGCAACATGCTGCCACCACCATGCTTCACAATGTGGGCATGGTGTTTTTTTCTTTTCTTTTTTCTTTTTACCCAATGTGCTGTTTGTGGCCATAACATCCAGGAATAGCGTCACATTTTCCCACAAGCTTTAGGAGACTTCAAATGAGATTTTGTATTATTATTTGCAAATTTAACCAAGACTCCAGAGATACGGGGAAAATTAAGTTAAATTAAATTTTTATTAAATTATTGTAATAATTTTTTTAAGGTTATTGTAATGTGAAACAGCCAATGTTTGCCAGACATTCTTGTAGCTCATTTAGTCTCACTGGAGGCTTCTTTGGACTTTTCCTGACAAATTTTTTCTTTTGTCTTTTCATCCATTTTGGAAAGATGTCCAGTTCTTGCTGATGCCACTTTTGCACCATATTTTGTCCAGTTGACGATGAACATCAACGCAGTGTACCTCTCATTATTGCATTTACGCAAAATGTTTGCGGTTGCGACATTGCGCACCTTGAAATTCGGATGATGAATTTGATTTGAAGCATTAAGCATCTCTGACGTTAATCTGTTGTGTTTTTAGATTTTCGCAGACAAACTGGGTGATCATCCCGCACGCCGTTTATCGTCATCCTCATCCGTCAACATGGGAAAGACTCCACTAAAAGGTAAGAGTTTGACTTTCTTTTTCTTTTTTGTTTGATGTAAACAGTATGCTGGAGGTTTTACAGATCCAGGGTTGAGCTTAAAAATGTTGTTTTGGAAGCGTTAGGTGCTGGGAAACATCTACCTGGCTGCTTCAGTTGAGTTTAAAGTGTGTGGGAAACAATTTCACCAACTGCTATTAAGACATCATGTAGTTTTGCGTCACTTAAATCACTTCAGAGCTAAATATTGTCTGTGTGTGCTGTATTCGTATCAATGTTTTCACACATTAGAATGTACGTTTTTTTTTTATCAACAAAATCTTCAAATTTAGGATTATATATTATCTGATTGGTTTAATCCGTTGAAATTGATATTTTACGCGTTTTATTCTAACTGTTGTCATCCAGATAAAGCCATCATTTCTTTTTGCACTTTCTCTGTTCAGACCAGAAAGATGGCAAAAAAGAGAAACTGGGAAAGCCGCTCCCACTGCCAGGTACGACCCCTGCAGCAACTAAAGGTAAATGTTACTGTTTTGACATTTGATTATTAGATTTGATGTCTCTCTCTGTCTTATTTCCAACTTGATTTTGCTTCATTTGAATGTGTTTATTTAGTCAAGTTCTTTTAAATATGACGTGGTAAACATCCGTCTCCTTGCATTAGATTAATAATAGATGTGTTTTTTTCGGCACAGGTTATGGTGCGTCGGTTTTTGTATAATCATGAACCCGAAACATGAACAGAAAAAACACACCCCTTTCGTGAATCTGACTGAGATATAGATATAGCATACGGCATAAAATTGCAGAAGCGTTTTTGAATATTTTTTTTCCCTTTCTTTTAATATATATTTATTGTTAACCAGCAGTTGCATTTTTTCATAATTAAAATAAGAGCAAGGAAATACAAGTGTCATTTATTCAAAAGGATTTCCTGTGGGGAAGCATCTTAGCTTCTACATTTTAAGAATTCAATCAGAACCAATCCGTTAAAGCCATGAAGTGGAATCTTTCATGGACTACAAATGTTTCATTCAGTTTTTTTCAGCTGTTGTTACCGTCAGCACTTTGACTTTTTTCATCTAGATGCGTTCAGCTGGGAAGAATACCTGAAGGAAACCTCGTCCACACCGGCGCCAGCAGGCTGCTTTCGTCAGGTAAGCTTTACTGAAGCTGAAGTTTGATCTTTGGAAACAACCGTCTGTAAACAAGACAGTTTAAAAAGCTGCAGATGTGACTGGCTCTTCACTAAATTCACACCCCCATTTCTTACGTGTAAAGAAAACATTTCATCCTCGTGTAGTTAACTATTGCATTTAGTTTTTATCCCACTTTGTAGTAATTTTGATAAATTGTGAGAGATAGTAAATATAACAGACCAAACCTGCCATGTGATCTGCTGCTAGTAGATATTACTTATTTGTGTCGTGTAAACACATTTCCCTACAAGACGATTATACAAGACAATAAGTTGTCAAAGTGGGGGGAAAACAACACCAGAGCAGGTCAGTTTCAACACGTTTTCTTTAAAACGTCTCACTGGAAGACAGAAACGGCTGAAATACGAAGGGACCCATATGAATCCAGACTGAAATTAGACGTTTGCCTCTTGGAAGGCTTTCGATTTGGATCTTTGTTATTATTTCATGTCTCTATAAATATTGAGCTTTGTCTAGAAAAATTGCTTCGATGACTTAAAGGCCTTACAAAGCCTTACATCTAATAGCTGAGTCAAGTTCATTTGTGTAACATTTTTGTGGAACAAGATAGTTCAAAGTGCTTTACATCATAAAAAACATCACATAGAGATTATGAATTATGGAACAAGAAATAAACATCACATTTTGTCAAAAGCCAGCTCCAAGATCATCAGGCAAATATACTCCTTCTCCATGTTTGGTTCTGGTTTCAGGGATGCAGAGCGGAACCAGAACCAGAACACCTGAGTGGTCTGGAAGGTTGATGCAATAACAGCAGATCCTTAATCCTCCAGTAAAGTGTTAGCATAATGCTCAGGAGGAGCGCAGCAGACGTCACGGTCGGACAACAGGGAAGCAAGATGATGTCCCATCAGAACATCAGTTCCCAAAACCACACAAAAAAATCCCTTATAAAAGCGCACGCGGGATCAGTGCGACCCCTGTGTCAAAAGCTTGTGAGATCAAATTGACTGCTGGAGGGTTAGTGTATTGTGGTGCTAAGTCATTCAGTGTTTTATAAACTAACAAAAGTATTTTAAAATCTAAGCTACAGGGAGCTGATGTATAAGGTTTAGTCCCCAAACATCCAGTTTTACTTTGTTTTTACATTTACTAAAAGAAAATATTTAACCAGGTTTGGCTTGAAAAACACAAAAATAAGTTATCAAAGTTATATTACACTTACTTAAAATACTAACATATGACAATGATGTATGATTTATCTAGGTCATATTTAGGTGACTTTGTCCATTAACCTAAACTGTGCTTCTTCTGCCTGAGGCATAAGTGTTGTAAACCTATCACACTGTGTCTGCAGGCTAGAGTCCCTCCCTCCAACGACTTCAAAGTGGGCATGAAGCTCGAGGCTCACGACCCTCGCAATTCCACCTCGGTTTGTATCGCCACGGTGATGGGCTTAACCGGGGTTCGTCTCCGTCTCCGCCTGGACGGCAGCGACAACAGCAACGACTTCTGGAGGCTGGTGGACTCGTCCGACATCCAGCCTATCGGCACCTGCGAAAAGAACGGAGACATGCTGCAGCCGCCGCTGGGTAAGCCCGACACTGCGACACATCGCTGAACCTCAGACAAGAGCGTCCTGCAGCTGCTCGGGTCTTAGTTTCTTCTTCTCTCCCGCAGGATTTCGTATGAATGCCTCCTCCTGGCCCATGTTCCTGTTGAGAACCCTGAACGGAGCAGAGATGGCACCAGTGACAGCCTTCAAAACGGTTTGTACCGACTCCTTTAAAAACTCTAAAATCACAGCAGCGTGCCGACATTTTAAACTTATTAATTTTGGTCCTTAGGAACCTCTGAGACCTCCTCAAAACGGCTTCAAGCCAGGCATGAAGCTGGAGGCGGTGGACAAGAAGAACCCGTACCTCATCTGCCCCGCCACTATCGGAGAAGTGAGAGGCGACGAGGTGTTTATCATGTTCGACGGCTGGAGGGGGGCCTTTGATTACTGGTGCAAGTACGACTCCAGGGACATCTTCCCCGTGGGCTGGTGCTCCCTCACCAAGCACAGCCTCCAGCCACCAGGCAACAGTGGTAAGTGTTGGACTCTAGGTGGCAGCAGATATTTGCGTCAGATGTTAGGGTTGTGGGAAGGAGTGGTTGTTTGTAAACAGTGTTTGATTTAATCCTCCCCGTCGAGTTGCAGCGCAGCAACTTAAACGTTCCTTTACAGTCCTTTAGATGTCTGGGAAAGTGTGGGAACATTATTCATTTCCCCATTTTATTCTGCTTTTTAAGTCATTTACATTTTATTAAATGTGCTTTTGCAGCTTTTTGTGACACATCAGACTCTGATTTCTAACTGTTTTCAGTTCAGTATTTTTGTTTTTGACTCTTTCAAAAAAAAAAAAAAAGGCAGCTTCAGAATTTTTTGGGGACTTTTTGAGCATCAAATCAAGTTGAACTGGTCCTGTCTTTAGTGCTACAAAAAACTGAAATGCTTTTGAATTAAAAAAAAAAAAGAAAACACCAGTGGAAACATTATAAAAAGCTGCTCAACAATTTAGAAGTAAATTGTTACATTTTATTACATTCCAAATAAAATGTTAACTTAAACAAACATATGGTTTGTTGATGTTTACTTGTGGGGTTCCAGAAGGTTCTACGTTTGGGTCAGGGTTGTTTATTGTGCAGAAAAAAGGTCCCAAATTGTACTTCAAAGAATTTTCCTTTATTTTATTCATATTTGCTAAGCAAATGCATGGTTGAAGATTTCTGAAAATTACCAACAATTTTAGCATTGACCTACCGAAAAAGTACAAGTCTGGAATAAATTACCTGTAGAAACTGAGAATGCTGTTTACATTGAACAGTTTAACAATCCCACCCATGTAATGTCAAAATGTATTGATTTATGTTAGTAGATGGTTGAAAAAACAGCAGAGCTTCATTTTTTTTAAATGCGTCTTGTCTGAATAGAGAACAGGCAAACAAGATGGCTGCTTTTACCGTGTCAGATTTGCTCTTCAAAAGAGGTGATGTGATATATTTTCATACACCATCTGTTTGCTCTGGATAAGTATTTTTTTTGTATTTTTTTCACTGCCTGAAGTTTCAAATAAGTCTATCTGAGTTTGAAGGTCCAGATTTCCTTTTGGATCTCTTGGAAAGTTTGTGGATAAAATGCAGGAAGGCATATGGTAAGCACTGAGCCGAGAGAATTGATGTGCAGAAACGACGCAGCGTTTTCTGTCGGTGTGTTAGTGTGGCTGTCTGGGTGGGACGGAGCAGGAGGACAATTTATGTGCTTCACATTTCACCCGTTTACATTAAGGCAGGTCTGTCCTGTGTCTGTTACGCCGCGTCTCAGACTGAGTGGGTAGAGAGAGCAGAAGACTCTCCGACAAAATACATCGAGATTTACGATACTCACTGAAGGGTTTTATGTTTCTGTTCCAACGTTCTGCTCAGGAATAAGCCACAGGCTTGGAGTGGACAACAACAGAAATGTTATTTTAACTCGCTCTCAGAACTGTTTGGTGGAAAAAAATTGCAAAATGAATTTTTGGTCGTCTATTTTTGTTTCCAGATGATTTCTTAATACAACTAGCTTTAAGTTTTCAGAGTTTCACAACAGCACAGTTCCAAACTATGTCGGAAACAGGTTCAAAATCTGACAAACTAGATATGAACTTAGATTAATTTGTAGGTTTATCAAATGAAAATTTAGGCCTATTGTTAAAAAGAGATATTCTTCTAAAACTGAAAAAAGTACATTTGTTTTTTTCTCTGCAATGTTTAGTGAATCTGATATTGATAGAAAAATTGATAGATTTTTTTTGTGTGTGTTTTGATCAAAACCGAGAGATAAATTGAAATGTGACAGAAGTGTCGTACTCTCTCCTCCTCGTGTTCATCCTCTCTCCTCGTGTTCGTCCTCTCTCCTCATGTTCGTCCTCTCTCCGCTGTGCTTTCAGTTACTCTTCCGAAGAACCTGCAGATCCTGCCGTCGTCTCCCTCCAAACCCAGCAGGCGCTCCATGCAGTTGCCCTACAGATACCCCACTCTGCCCGCGCTGCCCGTGAGGAAGGGGGTGAGAGGCCGTCGGCCCAAGAGCGAGACGCTCGCTCTGCTCAAAGCCGTGGCGGAGGCCGCGGCTTCCCACAACGGAGCCGTTCCCGACGACACGCCGCTGGTGCCCCGGGTTCACAAGAAAAGAGGACCCAAATCAGGAAGTAAGGTGAGCAAACCTGGAATAGCATCACCTCATCTGACTTTACGCTGCTTCTTCAGGGTTTAAATGTATGCATCTAAAATTAAAGCTTTAAAATGTTTTAAGTTCTTTATTTGTTGTCTTAATTTAAGTTAAATATGTTAATTTCAGGTCTTAAATTTTATCATGAAAGTATTTATTTGTATAAATGTATTTATTCCCCCACCACCGTCAGGCAAAAGACAAAAGTTTGAGTTGCCCACAGACTTTATTTCGTTCTGTAACTCAAGGCGTATGAGGCTACCGCTAACTAGCTGCTAATATACCATTGCTAACTAGCTAGGCAGCTTTATTGCGTGTCACTCTGTCATGGGTGATGGGCTTGACACACGGGGTGCGACCCACCACTCCGGATGAAACACAATGTGGCGACAACATCTAAAGTTTCATGTTTTTCATCTTTCTTGTGTCGTACAAGCGCAAAATTTTGCAGACAAAAATAAAACGGCACTTCAGGCTGTCACCTCAGCTGCCAGCCTGAAGTGACAGCCTGGAAGCTGTCACTTCGTCTTGCAAGATCCATAGGAAATGAACAAAGAGGGAGCAACGTCACCATCCATGTGTCGACTCTTTTAGGCTTAAATTTATTGATCAACGATGTTTGTTTCTGACTCTCGCTCATTTCTGTTGCCAATCCACATGAAGATAGGTGCATTCTGTGCAATAAAACAACTTTTAAGCTAGATCACAACGTGTGTTACAGCTCTGGAGAGCCACATGCAGTGTGAGAAGAACAAGAGACTAATGAATTTTAAAAAATTTTGCTATCCTTTATTGTGATACATCAGGATCCCCCAATCACCTCCTATATTTATACATATTTCGGTCTTAAATTTCATTCATAGTGGTATTAAAAAGTCTGAAATTTGTCTTTCTGAGATTTCTAGATACCCTGTTCTGCAGTTCCAACAATTTATTGGAATTCTAAAGCATTTCTACTGTTTCTGTAGCGAAAGTCCAAGCTTCTGCAGAACCCGACGCAGCTGCCAAGCATCCAGGTTCCACAAGAAAACCCTCCCTGCCTCAACTCGGTGGTTTCAACAGGTACGGCTCCACCGTCGTTTGCTTCCCGGCGGCGCTGCTGGACGTTCGGCTTCGACTTAGAGACTCCACTCAGCCGGTCCCGATCTGTTCAATGCACCTCTTTGTGTTCCTGTCCCGCCCTCAGTGTGCGTGTACGTGAATAAGCACGGGAACTGCGGCCCCCACTTGGACAGGAAGCAGATGCAGCGCCTTCCGGACCACTTTGGGCCGGGGCCAGTGAACGCCGTGCTCCAACAAGTGGTCCAGTCATGTATAGACTGCGCCTACCAGCCAAAAGTCCTCCTCAGCGCTCTGCAGAGTGACTCGGGGGGAGGCGAAGCTGTCAAAGGTAAAAAACACAGATAAGGTTTTGTATCATGGGGAGGGAAAAAAAGGAGCATATTTAATGAGTTTAACATGAAAATGTCTTCAAAGTGAGAACAGACGGCGGTGTCCGTGTGATCAAACTGCCGTCCGCCTCCAGTGCTTCCTTCGTGTTACGCTTCCTAGAGAGCATGTGCCGTCACCTTCAGTGTGACAACCTGTTCAGCAGCCAGCCGTTCAGCCACTACACCGCCTACGACAGGAACAAGTCTGGTAAATTAATCGGCCGAGCTGCACGCAGCGGTCTTGTACTGTTCATAAAATGAGTTTTTTCTAAATGTTTTGTCTTCCAGTGAAAGAAGAGGCGCTTGATGTTCCCTCTCTGGCCCGGGGTGGTAAACGCAGCCTCTCGGGGGTCTCTCCTCCGTATGCCGCCCCTCTCTCCCCCAAACATTTACGAGCCGAGGCTCACCCATCTGAAGGTAGCGCTCATATTTCTAATTTTTTTAAATTTTTATTTCACTCTATAAAAAGCCTAGAGGAAATCCAGGAAATGTTGCAAACATTTTCCGTTTGCCGTATTTCTGCGCTGAATTCAAAAAGCAGATTGCTGTAAGTTCAGCTGATGCAGCCAATTCTCACCATTGAAAAATATTTCAGTTTTTTATTTTCATTAACAAAGAATGGGTAAATAAAAATCATTATGAAAAAAAAAAAGAAAACTTCTGGCATTTCCAGCTTATTAATTTAAAAGCCTGTCAGCCTTTCACCATGTTCAGGTTGGAAGATCAAAATGATTAAACTGAGCAACTTTTCTTGAATATGTTCAGCCCTCCTGTTAGTAGAAAAACTAGAGAGGGGCAGATTGATCCAAAGTATTGTTGTGTCATATCGATACTAGCATGGTAAGATTTCTACTTTTCTTTCACGACCTCTCTTGAAGTTTTTATTTTATTTTTGTATTGCAGTTTTCCAACTCTACTGTAAAAAAGACTTTGCTTGAATTTTCTCTCAAACGATAGTTTTTTGCACTTTATTTTGAAAAAAAAGCACAAAAGTTTTATTTGTTTTTCTATTGTTTCTACTTATCATGTAAATATGTCACTGAAGTATTTTGTAGACACCTATAAACTATCTAAATTGTGTCTTAGGTTTTAACAAAATAATTCCACAAATAAAATAAAATAAAAAAAAAAAACACACATTAACTCCTCAATGCCAGAAGTTTGACGATATCATACTTAATAAGTATCGGTATCGGCAATATAAAAAAAAAACAAAAAAACAAGCTGGTTCTGAAAATAGCCAACTTTTGAGTTTTTTACTTAGGACTTCTACACCGAAGATTGTTGTTATCACTGTGAGCTGGTAGAGTTTTAGGTTCAGGGGCATTACCCTGTCAAGATATCAAATTATGCTGGACTATAAATTGTCCCACTAATTATTGCGATAACCGATATTATCATTTGGAGACCATTTTCAATTAACATATTGATAACGGCGCAATCAAGCCTGTCCTCTCAGAGACCAATAAACTTTAATTTTGTACAGAATACTCCACACTGTGACTGAAAGACATTTTATATGTCCAAAATAAAACATGACAACAAGAACCAAAACATAAAAACCACACACAACCCAAATGATAAATAAAATCTGTGTAAACAAAATAGCTCTTCAAAAAATATGAATCATCAGGGAGGATAAATTATTGTGCTCATTTTAATTTATCATGAGAGGAACTGCTTACTGCGACAGGCTTCCCAGCTGATCACTGATCAGGGCAGGTCAAGTGAAAGATCTCCTGTTTTCTTCTGCAGTAACATTTCGCCAGACACTTTTTTTTTTTCTCCCCACACAACCTATGTGACGCAACCAGCTCTGGTATTTACTCTGTCTGTAATTTACCTAAATATAGATTCCCCCATAAATGCATGTGTCATACCTCGTTTCAGCGTCTGCAAAGTGTCAGCGCAGAGAGCTGCTGTTTTAGCTCAGTAGCTCTATTTCGGGAGCAGATCTGCCTTTGCGTGTAGTTTGAGGATTAGAAGCGGGCGGACTGAAACCAAACACCGTGAAAAGGCCGACGGTTTTGAAAACCTCTTTATGTTTTCCCCCCTTTCAGCAGAGACTCTGCCGCACGAAGAGAACGGCCACATCAAGGAGCAGCGATACATGGACTCGGCTTCCAACTCCATGACCCCACGACCCCAAATGGCGCGGAGCTCCTCCGAGTACCACCCTCAGGCCAGCAGCCTCTACCATCACAGCGGCAGCGCCGCGATGCGCCGCCACTCATCTAACTCGGCAGAGCTCAGCTCGACGCAGCCTCTCAGACGAGTCGAAGGTACGCCACGAGTCCCGTCGCTGCTTTACACGTAGACGTGTCGCGATAAGCAGTAAATCAATAGATCGCATTAATAATTCAAGTGAAGGCGATCGTTTTCAGGTGCGTTCTTGTTTGTTTTCGTCGCGTCTGTCTCTCTCTTTCTACCAAAGAGGCTTGACGACAAAACGCTTCACTCCGGTGCATCAAGTTGCTTCTCCCCTCCTCGTTTCCTTAGTAACGGGCTCAACACGCAGGAAGCGACAAACGGCACCAACAATGGGGGGGAATCCAGCACACGGGACGCGACAGTCCACAATCACTGAGATGTTTAATCAACAAAATACAAAAAGGCCAAAATGGTAGACAGTAGCCATGTTTCCGTTAAAATTGTGCAAATTGAAATTGTGAAAATAAATTTGCCTACATGACAATTAAAAAAAAATGTTTTTTTAACAAGAAGATTAAGTAATTTTTCAGCCATATAGACATAGATGTATTTAGTAAAACTGCAATGGAAACACTTTTTTCGTGACACGAGTCATGGGATCAACAGCCGGATGTTGCTACTGACAGAGACGATGAAGAAGATGACAGGAAGTGTTGGATGGATGATTTTGTTTTTGTTTTTTTTATGGATAATGTGCAGCAGCTCCACCAGAGCTCTCACAGCATCCGTTCATAAAACGTTGCGCGTCATTCAAACATGTTGAATCCATAATTCTTCTGGAAAATCTCAGATTTCCCCAAAACAATGCGTACGTATTGTCACTGCCATGATTTTTAATGAACAAGCTTACTTACTTATGCGAGATTTTAATTTCTCTTCTTATGTAATGGAAACACAACAATTGCAAATTTGTGTTTAGTTTTTTTCCCCCCACATTAGCAGAGCACAAAGATTTGCACACGTTTGCAGTGGAAGCGCAGCTGCAAACACAGAATCCATTATCGCTAAAGAAAATGTTTGTTTACAGACACTTCAGAAACCATGTTATTTGTTTTAGGTTTGCTTATTTATTTTGATTATTTAACATTTTCTTCTGGTTCCTGTGTTAAATGTTCTTCAGAAATTTGTTTATTGATATTTGCAAGTTTGCACTTGCACTATTATGCCATTTTTATGCTAGTCGTTAACAAATGATATTGTCGTTCATCCCAATAATTTCTGGGGTAATTATTCGCCCAGCAAAATTTGTTTAGTCGTTGTTCCGCAAGAACGCTACATGTACTCTGTGTGTGTGTGTGTGTGTGTGTGTGTGTGTGTGTGTGTGTGTGTGTGTGTGTGTGTGTGTGTGTGTGTGTGTGTGTGTGTGTGTGTGTGTTCTTCGGGAGGAGCTAGCTCCACCCCGGGTTG